CCCGTATTTCAGGCTATGTTTTGCCAACAAATGGGTCAACAGAAATTCCCACTTGGTTTGAAGGTTTATACGTCTGGAGATACACGTCAGAAAGCACATGCCTGTGTCCACAGGGCTTGCTGCTCACACAGGAGAGCCACAGTGTTTGCTCAGCCCTGCACTAACAGCACGACATCTATGTGAACCGGGCTAGAACAGCTCAGTGCAACTAACCCCCGCCCCCACTAAATCCTCGAAGCACCCCCCAAGCTTTGGAGCCATTACGGTCCTACTATTCATCTTAACCGCTCTTCAGGAAAGGGATCAGCAGCTGAGACTATTTAAGGTGGCTGAATCTATGCTCCAAAAAGCAGACACTGTGTCTGAGTTGCTGAGGTAAAATGGGAATGCTGCTTTCTACAAAAATAACAAAAGAAAGAAGCAAACTGGAATTTCATTCCTTTCTTCCCTTCTTTATGCTTTGTTTTTTGTTTGTTCGTTGTTTTGAGACAAGGTTTCTCTGTGTACCCTTGGCTGTGCTAGACTAACTTTGTAGACCAAGCAAGCCTTGAACTAATAGCTATCCTCCTGCCTCTGCTGGGATTGTAGGCATGTGCCACCACACCTGGCTTTCATTACTTTCTTAAATGACTGTTTATATTTTTCTTTTCTAATTACATTAAAAAATTTAAGGGGCTGGAGGGACACCTCAGCTCTGGCTTAAGAGCACTATTCTTACAGAGGCCCCAGGTTCATTTCCCAGAACCCATATGTTGGCTCACAACCACCTCCAACTCCAGTCCCAGGATATCCAACACCCTCTTCCAACCTTCAAAGGCACCAGGCACATACGTGGTATACATTCATACATGCAGACAAACACTCATACAGATAAAGTAAAAACGAAATTAAATGAACCACATAGTCAAGACAAACACATAAAGGAAATTTTTTTAAAAACCTGTAGAATAAACAAAAGCAAAAGAAAAAATGTTTTCATAATGTGTTAAAGAAATACTCCACTATAGCCAAACATTACAAACCAGGAACACTCAGTACTGCATCAAGGCCTCTCCTTTCCTAATTTTATCACTGGCTTCATACAAAGAAAACATACTAACCAAATTGTAGTGACTTAAGCTGGGTACGGGTAGCACACTCCGACAATGCCAGCACTAAGGTAGAACCATGAATAGATTCTTCCCTTTCCTGAGAGGAAGAAGCACATAAAAGCATAAAATTTGGAAGAAAACCAAATTTCAGCACAAGCCACCAAGGTGGAGAGGGTAAGGCCAGCCTGGGCTATACAGCAACATCTTGTCTCAAAAAACATAAATAAACAAGAGGCAGGGAAGGAGAAAAGGGCAAAGGAAGGAGGGAGGGAAGGAAAGAGGAAGAGAGGGGACAGAAAGGGAGAGGAGAGAGGGAAAGGAAGGGAGGGGGGGACCAGCATTAGCTTAAGGAGCTAACTCTAAAATAAGCAAAACATAATCTAGGGATATACTGTGAAAAACTGGAGATGAGAAGGAAGTAAAATGTTTACTTTCTTTCCCTTTATAGCTGCCCGGCTCTCAGTCAACAACCGCCACAGATGGTAGCAGCGCCAGCTTGTTCTCCGTTGCTCACAACCCTCGAGGATGAGGCATGCTACCTTTTCCAGAGATTTCCTGTCTGCTCCTAGAGCTCCGCTTGCCCCCACCAAAATATACACCAAGGCAGGTCCCCATGTGGCAGTGCTGAAAGGGACGGCTTAGCAAAAGATGCAGGCAGACCCTGTGAATGGATTCACAACTCTCCTGAGAGGAAAAAGCACACACATGTGAAATATACGAAAACAGCCCTTCAGCACCAGTCACCAAGGTCTGCCTGGAGCACAAGCATCCCATCAGTTGTGTTGTGTGGCTGTTTCTCACCTCAGCACCCTCACTGACAGGCTAAAAATGTTTGCTCTTCGGCCCTTTCCAGACAGTCTGTCATCCTGTGAGTTAAATCAGAGGTAAGCTAATCTCATCACAAGCGGCATTTCACAATGCCACGATGCATGTTAAAAACACAACCTAGAAATCCACAGAAACAAGCTTGATAAACCAATCCCCACCCACGCAGGGTTTGTGTTACAAACAACAGTGCTAACTCTAACGAGAGGGCTGCAGCTGCAGGCAAGAACGGATAAGAACGCCCACCCTTGGCCCAGTCCACGCCAATGAAAAGCTGGGCAGAAAACACAGGGCATCTAAGGACTGTGAACTGTAAATGGGAACACGGAGACTGGGGAATAGAAACTGGAATTCAGAATACCTTCAAAACAGTTCTGAATTTTCCTTTTGCATCCTCTTCTCCCAGTATCACTCCAAAGGCAACCTGGCACCCAAAAATGCTCAGTGTGTCTAGACAAAAAAACCCAGAGAAAAGAACACCTCCTTGCTTTTTAGCCCAAGGAGCAAACTCCACATTCAGAGAAAGCCTCACTAGAGCTTTGCTTTTATTTATTTATTTTTTTATTCCCACTCCAGCCCCAGTTGGGACACCCTGCAGGGCCAAAGAGCAGGGCCATTCAGCTGGGCAGACACCAAAACTCCCAGAGAATGTTTCTCCCAAGAAGAGCTAGTCTCCAGGGCACAGGGTGAAATCCCATTGTTTGTTTTCTTTTTCTTCCTCTTTTCTAGCTATCTGCTTCCTGATCCTGATCATGGTCAAAGAAAATCATGCATCCTAGTAGAGAATTCTGACTTTACATTTAAAGGACGGCAATAGAGGGCTCTGGGAAATCAGATACTGTCAGAGAGACTGCAGAGAGGAGCTCTGGATCTGACCCTAACCAGCAGAGTCAGTGGCCTTGAGATTCTCCACTCTGGGACAGCTCACTTCCCAGCTGGAGAACAGACATAAACCACATCATAAAGACTGACGCAGAAGTGATACTGCAGACACAGCCCAAAGAAGAAAAGCAGAACAGCGCAATTACCTGCCTGCACCGGACCTGGACAAAACCCATAGAAGCATCATAACATCATACAGCTTCCGTGTCCCTTGAGACCAGAAGTGGCCAGGACACTGCAGCGTTTGGAATTTTTGCATATACTTAACGAGGTATTTTTGGAATAGGATCCAAGTTAAGGCACAAAATTCATTCACACTTCATTTGGACCTTGTATTTAAGGTGATCATACACTATGTGTTGTGCGTCTGTACAGATGTGGAAATTTCCACTGTAATATCATGGCAGTTTTCACATGTGTGGATCTTGGATCACTTTGAATTTCAGATTTTCAGATTAGATATGTTCAACCCATATTCAATAATGCATATAATATAACCCAAATATACTCAGGAAAGTCACCTGGCAGTGGAAGGGCAATCACTCCCGGTGACATGAATATTAGAATAATCAAACAACTTAAAGGAACTACAGTGAGCATCTGCAGGAAGACAGAGTACTCTTGCACGGATTGAAAGATGGTAGACTTATCCTCCCCTCACAAAAAAAAAAAAAAAAAAAAAGAAATCCAAGCGCTCAGAAAAAAAAATATATATATATATATAAACAAAACCTTCAAAAATATCACCAGATGGATGCAATGGAACAATGGAAGCAACAGAAGAAATAGTGAGTGATCGCGAATACAGGTGAATAGAATATTCAAAGAGGCATGAGAAAAGAAGTGTAAGAGCAGAGAGAGTCTCAGAGACCCGTGGGGAGATGCTAGCATGTCTAACATTCACATCACCAAAGTCTCAGAACAAGGAAAAAAAATTTTTAATGCAGACAGTAAGTTCTCATATTTGGCAAGAGAGGTCAATTTACAGTTCCAAGAAATGCAGATTCTACCGCCAGACAGACTATAATCAAACTGCTGAAAACTAGAGACAACTGAAAAATCTAGAAGAAAGTAATATATCAGGAATAATAGTTTTCATAATTACAGTTTTCCCAGAAGAAACCATGGGGATCACAAGGCAGAATGCAGAGCTAAAAGAAGGTAATGGCCAATTCAGAAGTCTGTATCAGCCATAAACAGCCTTTGAAACTGAGGGGAAACGAAAATCCCAGGGGGGAAATAATGTAGAAATCATTCTTAAATCCTACTAACAGAGATGCTAGATGGAATGGACACGTTGTTAGGGGGAAATAATGACTGAAAAAGAAGATACAAGATGTAAAGATGTAAAAAGTCAAAACAAGCCTCGAGTAAACAGAAATCCTGATTATTAATTTAAAACCTTTCTACAGAGAAAAGTCTGAGCCCGTCCCACTTAGCAAAGCCTTCCAAGGGCTTAAAGAATTCATATCAATCCTTCAAAAGCACAAAACAGAAGTAGCGGAAATATACAAAAACACCAAAGATATCGCAAAAAAAAAAAAAAGCTAACAATCATTTATGAATACAGCCATTAAAAATGTCATCCAAGGGTTGGAGAGATGGCTCAGCAGGTAAGAGCACTAGCTGCCCTTGGAAAGGAGCCGGGTTAGTTCCCAGCACTGACATGACGGCTACAATCATCCATAACTCCAGTTCCAGGGGAGCTGACACTCTCCTGGCCTCTCTGGGCACTAGGCACATATATGGCATACACATTCAGACAAAACACTCAGACACATTAAATAAATAATGAAAAAGTAAGATAATCGTCAAACACATACTAGCAAACTGAACTTGTCATATAAACAGAGAAATTTTGTTCATGATCAAGTGAGACACATGAGATTACATTCAAATAAAGGAACAACGTAGTATGCCATGCAGAGGGAATGAAGGGCAGAGAGCACATGACTTCTCCACAGAAGCAGAAAAGTCATCTGATAGAATCCAGTAACTTATCACCACAAAATGATTCAGTAAGCCTGACAACAAAAGAAACTGAGGCACCTCAGCCTAACAAGGGCCACGCAATGCTCACAACTACATCAAATAATGGGGAAAGACTGAATGCTTCTCCAGTGATGCCGAACAATACACTTGATTTAAATGAAATAATAATCATACATCCAAATGACTCAAAGAAGACATATAACTAAAACAATGGTGGCAGGTGGAAGTGACCCGCGGGCTGGCGACATAGAAGAGGACGCCTCCCAGCTCCTCTTTCCCAAAGAGTTTGAGACGGCTGAGACACTCCTAAACTCTGAAGTTCACATGCTTCTGGAGCATCGAAAGCAACAGAATGAAAGTGCAGAGGATGAGCAGGAACTTTCCGAGGTCTTCATGAAGACCCTAAACTATACAGCCCATTTCAGTCGATTCAAAAACAGAGAGACGATTGCCAGCGTTCGTAGCTTGCTTCACCAGAAAAAGCTATGTAAGTTTGAGTTGGCCTGTTTAGCCAATCTTTGCCCTGAGACTGCTGAAGAATCCAAAGCTCTCATTCCAAGCCCGGAAGGGTGTTTTGAAGATGAGGAACGGCAGCAGATTCTCGATGACATCCAGACCAAGCGCAGCTTCCAGTACTAATCGCCAGACATTCTCTGCTTTTGAGACGGCTCCGGAACAGCACCAGGTTCCCAAGCCTGTGTCAGCCTCACGGGACACTGCTGCACAGTCGCCGGGGCTTCTCTTGGTGCCCTGTGACAGTTCTGCCTCAGCCTCCCAAGTGCTGGGATTACAGGTGTGAGGAAAGGCTGGCGTGGCGATGGTCTAGGTTTCTGTCTCCACTGCGACTACCAGGTCAGAATTGCTGAGTCTTCCTCTTGCATCCTTGTAATAGCTGCTGTGGTCAAGCATGCTGCAATCCTGAACCAGTGGGGTAGACGTGTAAAGCATGTGTTGACTAACTCCTACTGTGGTTTCCTGGGCGCCATGTTATTATTTTTTTGTTCTTGACATTTCAATTATATTTTTGATTGATACATATTTCGAAAAAAATCAATATTTTGTATTTTTTGAAGCTGTTCTATTAAAAACTTGTATAGAGGGGAAAAGGACATATAAAAAGAGGACCTATATAAGCATACTGTACTCATGAACTGGAAAAAACAACATATACTTGAGATGCTAATTCTCCACAAATTGATCTACAGACTAAAGGCAGTCAAAATCTCATCACATTTTATTTTATTTTTTTAGTTTAGAAAGAAACAATTTAAAATGTATGTAAAAAGACAAAGGAATTCTCTCGTAAAGAGGCAAAACAATTTTGAATATTGAGAACTTACACAATCCAATTTTAAGATCTATGACAAAGCTACAGATATCAGTGTCCATGATGATGTCTAAACACAGATCAGGGAACAGAAATGAGTTCCTATGGCCAAATGATTTTTTTAGTGTTTTTTTAATTTAAATTTATTTTTTATAATTTATTCACTTTACATCCCGATTGTAGCCCCTTCCCTCATCTCCTCCCGGTCCCACTCTCCCTTCCTCTTCCCCCCATTCCCTTCCCCTATTTCTCAGAAAAGGGGGGCCTTTCAACCCTACCATCTGACTCCAGCCCATCATTTTTAACAAGCACTCAAAGACAAGTCATCTGGGAAAGCTAGCCATGAAACCATTAGAAACCTGTAAGAACAGGAAACCTGCAAGAACCTCATACAGCCTATAAAAATGCCCTCAAAATGGATCTGAAATCTTAATGTTACAACTATAAAGTTTCTAAGATGAACACACTACAAAGAAGCTTTACTGTCTACAATTGGGCAAAGATTATTGAATATGATACAAAAAGCATGTCCAATTTAAAAGAAACTTGAAAACATTTGCTCTGCAAAAACATTGAGTGAAAAGACAAGCTTCAGATAACACTTGCCAATTATGTGTCTGCTGAAAAGACCTGAATTCAGGATCCATGAGGGACTGCCCAAGTCCTGCAGCTAGAAAGCAAACAAACCAGTGTTGGAAATGGGCAAAGAATGGAAGGAAGCCTACACCAAAAAGGATGAGCAAAGGGGAATAAGTGAAAAATGATGTCCACCATCATCCATTAGGAAAGCAAAAATTACCACACACTTATTAGAAAAGGGTTAGACTGAAAATGGAGACACTCAGGCGTTGGAAAGGGTTCTAAACAACTGGAACTCTCACGCATTCTCAACAGAATGCCAAATGGCATGGCCACTCTGGGATACAGTTTATTATATGTATAAACACACTGAGTGTATGATCCAGCAATCTCAGTCCGTGGCGTAGACACAAGAGAAGTGAAGAATTAGCATTTCCACAGAAACCTGCATGTTTGTAAAAGCTCTGTTCATGACGACCAAAGACTATAAAGAACACAAATCTCCTTCAAAGATGAATGGCTGAAAGATGACACATCCATAAATACAATAATATTGACCCCTATAGAGGAACTAACAAGCGGCACACATTAGTTAGCATGGGTAGTCTCAAGGGCATCGGGCTGAGCGATTCTACTTGTATACAACACTCTAGAAAAGACAAAACTATGTGACAGCATGTATCACTAGTTGCCAAGGAATCTTAGTTAAGGTTTTATTGCTATGAAGAAATACCAAGACCAAGGAAACTCTTGTAAAGGAAAACCTTTCATTCAGGGCTATCTTACAGGTTCAGGGGTTCGTCTATTATCATCGTGGTGGGAAGCATGGCAGCGTCCAGTCAGACATGATGCTGAAGAAAGAGCTGAGAGGTCTATATCTTAATTCCCAGGCAGCAAGGAAGAGACTGAATGTTTTTCACACTGGGCATAGCTTAAGCATTTAGGACCTCAAAACCCCACCTTCACAGTGACACTATGCAAATCACCACACAAGGATTCTGGTAAGAGAGAAGTGTAAACACAAAGGGGTAGGATAAATAAATATCCTAACCGTGGGATAGAGCTGTTATGTATCCTGACAGTGGTGGTAGGTAAAACAACCCACAGGCCACAACTCAGAGAAGAGGGCATTCACACACACACACACACACACACACACACACAGAGAGAGAGAGAGAGAGAGAGAGAGAGACCTTTTTGATAACTCTTAAAGATAATCAAGGAATAATCTCGGAAAGGCTTATCAGGCAAGACATAACGGCTAAAGCAGAGATCGGAGCCTGGGTGAGAAGCAGGAAAGCTCTATCCTGTGTGGGAAACACAGCACGGAGTCTTCCTTCTCAATGGGTCAGGTGCAGCTGGACACAGAGGAGGGGTGAGAAACGGGTCATCACCAAGAATGATTTGAAGTGGACACAGTGATGTGCATGCATGACAGGGCTGGACCCTCAGGGTAAGAAGCCTTAACTGACTTTTTTGAACCTCCATAGTCTGTGGGAGATAACTAATGGGAAAACAGAAAAGGCGGCCAGAAGGTGACAGAGGGTGACACAGGTGGCCCATCCTCCAAGGCCACCTTTCACCTAAACTCCATCAGCAAAGCCCTGTCTTGCACCTTGTGATATGGTTGTGGCTGAATCCATGGTTTTGGAAGACAGGACATTAAAAAAAAGAAAGAAGAAAAAAAAAAAAAGGTTGGAAATCCAGGACTGATTCGTCTTCAGAATCTGCAATGATGAATGCTCACTAAGTCTGTGTTTTCTTTCCCAGCTCAGTCATCTGGGTAGAGCATCCTAAGACTACACTATGCGTCACAGAAACTGGCAAGCATGCTGTGGGAAACAGCCATTTGCTCCAAAGTCACTTGGATTCTCATGTTTATGCATTTCAGTATATTTTCTTTAAAAGTACATAAAATACAGTGCTTTCTGATAATATTAGCATTCAGAATGAAACTCTTAGAAGGGGGTGTTTCCCTGTGAGATTGCCTACCTGTCTCCCTACACTGCAGAACCCCTTTCTTCTCCTCAGCAAATGCAGCTCCCAGAAGCTTAACCAGCTTTAGCAACCATCAGTCAGGACCATAGTTAGTAATTCCCTAGCTGGGAAAGTCTACCTTCTGGATCCCAAGTGGCTGCGTTCTCCCAGCTGTTTTAACCTCCTGCAGCAAATGCTCTCACACTGTGCTATGGGAGAAAGAACAACCTGATACCTGATCCTGAAACAGAAAAAGTAACCGAAAGAGATGAACAGATGCATTTGGAAAAGTAAGGAAATCTTCACGCACATTCAAATCCAACAGCCATCCTGTTGTGGGTTCAAAGATGATGGTGGGGGAAAAAAAGAGTCCCTGCGTTCATCAGGACATATTCACAGACAAGCTGCTGGCTAGCAAGGCCTGGCAAACAGAAAGAATTCTCCAAAGTGTGAGGGATAAGGGGGAGCAAAGAACCAACCTGCTTATCGTGTCAGTAACAATAAATCCGGCTATTGCAAAAGCTGTTTACTGACTTCCGATGTCTGCCCATTTTTTAAAACTATTTATATATCTCTTTTCTGTGATACAATAATGCAAATACCAGTTCTGAAATACATATATATATCTTAGAATTCAGCCAACCCACTTGATTTCCTGATCATGAGCCTGCTATATATATAAGGCTAAATATTACAGCATTTGGGAGCCTATGTATAGATGTAGAAAATGTGTCAAGTAGGCATGGTAGCAAATGCCCATAATCTCAGCACGTAGGAAACCAATGAAGGAAGATTGACTACACTGTGTTACAAAGTAAGTTTCAGTCCATTCTAGTTTATACAGAGACCCTGCCTTTCAAGCAGAAAAGAAAAAATAGAAACAAAAACTATTAAGTGTCATTTTGTTTCAACTGACTTATGAAAAAGTGGTTCCCAGACAAACTGTTACCACAACTATTCCTTTTCAAATGTATATATGTATAATATATCATAATGTGTTTATGTAATAAATATATATGTATAATATGTTATATATTATATAAAATACATATGTGTATATACATGTATAATATACTTATTATAATGTTCATGTTATTATATCTGTTATATATTACACATCACATGTTACATATTATATATTATTCACACGCACACACACACACACACACACATATATGCGGAGAGGAAACACAACCTTATATTGAGGTCTCTGCTACAACCACCTCAAGGGGTTGGAGTATGCATCTCTCAGGACAGCAGCAGCAGTCACAACTGCAGTGGTAGCACTGCTGAGACATCCTGCACCACCAGCATGCGCCCTGCAGGAGCTTGCTCTTCAAATGCAGGAGCATGTGGAACATCAGCACTCCTAGAGTCCATGCAGCCAGGTGGTGAGTACAAAGGCCAGCTGCAGCAACAATGTGAACCTTGCTTTTTATACAACTCTACGTGAACAAAAGCCTCATCTAATTAGTCAGGGATGTTAGGATTTTCGTAAAACCATCACTAGAACAGCTTCACTAATTGGTAGGAAGGCCATTCTGTACCTGTGTGTCAACTAAAATGTCTGAAAACAGCACTATTTTAACTTCTTTCTGAAGCTGAAATCACTGTGCCCAGCAGCTTAGTGGCCCTGCTTTAATGCACAGGCAGACAGCTAGACTGATACCTCCATCTGTTAGTAAGGCCAGAAGTTTCTACAGAACCTGGCTGGGGCTGCTCGCACACAGGTGCAGCAATCCTTCCTGAAGCCCTGGGTTTCTTGGGTACTCAGCATGTGCCTACACTGGGGGCTCACACAAGCATATGACACAGCTACTTATCTGAGAGTTT